CGGAAGATCATTTCGTGCCTAACACCACAGAATCCACCACGACGACCAATGCGATGGAGAGTAGACCTCTCCGAGTTCAATATAAAGTTCTAATATGTGCCAGAGAAATATCTGGCCCAGGTAAACACATTATCCCGCCGAGCAGACCACAACTCCGGAAAGGATAACAACAAAGACATTACCCTAATCGATCCAGAACTGATCATCTGAGCAGTACTGTTCGGTTTGCGCAATAAAATTGCGGCAGTAAAATCATGGGATTAAAAAGTTATCGAGGCTCTGCGATGACTCTGAGGAGAAGGGAAGGCTCTACCGGACTTCAAGAAGCACGACTAGGAAAAAGAAAACGAATTAATCTACTTCAAAAAGAGGATATATGTCCCCCCTAATGATGACCTAAAAAGGAAGGTCATTGCTATGCATCATGAACCCGAAGTAATGGGACATTCTAGAATCGACGACCCGGTCTTTTGGTGTGGTGACAGTGGATCACATTGTCGATCTACCCTTGTCAGATGATTACGACTCTGTCCAAGTTATGGTGGATCACGATATAACCAAGGGGGTAATTATTGCCCTATGCAAGAAAACCATCAACGCTATGGAAACAGCAGAGATACTTAACAAAGAATTATATCAACGATTTGGACTACCAGAGCTGATTATTTCGAACTGTGGTTCTCAATTTAGCTCGCACGTCTTCAAGGAGTGGAACACTCTTCTGGGGACAATGACAAGAATGTCCACGGTATATTACCCTCAGACAGATGGCAAAACTGAACGAGTAAATCAAGAACTCGAAGTTTTCCTTCGAATATATTGCCACAACAACCCAAATGGGTGGGCCTCGAAGTTGCATCACTTCAAATTTGCCTATAATCAGCTACCGCACTCGGTTACAAAGAAGTCCCCCTTCCAACTCCTAATGGCGTATTAGCCCAATGCAATTGAAATGATTCTACCAGAAGAAAAGATCCCCTTGGTAAATGATAGGCTAAAAACCTTACAACACGAATGAGAAGAAGCACAAGCTTCCATCGAATTAGCAGCAAAAGCTGTCCAGAATAGAGTCAACCAGCAAACTGCACCTTTTAAGAAAGGACAATCTGTATGGTTAGAAGGAAAAAATATTCAGACAAAGCTCCCAAGAAAGTTTTCACCCAAACGACTCAGACCTTTTCGAATCCTTAAAGTGATGGGACCCGTCACTTACCGATTGCAATTACCCAAGACCTGAAAATTGCACCCAGTGTTTCACGCCAACCTCCTAACTTCCAACAAAGAGACAATTAAGTACAGGAAGCAGTATGAACAACTGCCTCCAGACATTATCGACACAGAAGAAGAATACAAAGTGGAAGCCATTCTCTCCCATTATTACCAAGGGAAATGAAAAACACCGGAATACCTCATATCATGGAAGGCTACCCAGAATCAAACAACGAGTGGGTTCCACAAGGCAACTTACAACATGTGGGCAAGGTCCTGCAACTATATAAAAAATGGCACAAGTTGACCTGAAAGATTCAGAACTCTACCACTTAACCGACTCCCAATATGGCTACCAGACAATCCGCTTATCCCTCAGTCCCCTTTATTCACGTGCCCCGCTAGATCGGTTGCGCACAGATCAGTTACATGCATCTCCCCCTTCCGACCGCTCCTCACCATGACCGACCAGCTGCCTCCATATACCGCATTGCCTAGGTACTCACCAACCAGGCCCTCAGAGAGCAAGTCTGCATCCGGCTACAACACAAGCCGCAGGTCTGGGAAGACATGAGCACCTTCTGCAATGCCTCAGAAGTGTACAACATGATGTGCGTCATTCGAGACCTTCTTGCCCCCGGAAGCACCGAGTGGAATCGGCAACTTTAATGCATGGTAAAGCAGTCTGCCCTATGCAAGAAGGTCCTCACCCTACTCAACACCAGGATGATGCTCCACGATCTGCATGAGCTGCTCCCTCACTGTTACCAGCATGTGAACATGCATCGATGGGCCGTACTGCTTGAAATCAAGAAGCAGTCCAAAACTATGACCACTGAGCAGCAGGAACTCTCCTGAAGACTGTGGAGCACTGCATGCTGTCCAGACTCCTCATTCCCCTTATTCCAACAGGTGACAGGATCAGGCTGGGGGAACCTAGGATCTACCTGGGGAGACCCATCTGACACTCTACATCCTCCTTCGCCCTCTCCACCACCTATCCTGTCCCCAATCTGCATCCCCTCCCTAGACCTCTTGCCGATTCAGTCACACTGCATGCTATGCCGATTGAGTGACCACTCCACCATCCATTGCCCAGAACTTAGGTCCCTCTCCCCTGCATCCACTGAATGCGCTTACTGCCGCTCTACCACTCACTCAATGCTGGAGTGCAAATAGTTCGTGTTTGTCATGGAAGACCCAGCAATGGAGATGGACGCCAGTGACGCTAAGACCCTATCTACTGACGATGGTGACTCGGTTCTTGCTGAGATCCTAGCCCTGATCGACATTAAGATCATCAATCTCAATGATCTCAGGGCCACGGGGCATTGAGACGCTCTGAGTCATGATGGCAACTCGTGCCGACTACTGTCTATTAATCAGACATCATTATGACCACACCAGAGATCGGTGTCAACTTTGTCAGGCAACCTCTGGCGATCCTCCTCATCATTATCTGCTTCCTTTTCCTACTCTTGATGAGCTACTGCTTCATATACCCCGGACACGGCAGAGGCACTTTCCACCACGAACCACGACCCTTTAGCGAAAACATCCACCTCCCCCTATCGGCACCTCCATTGCCTTCATACACTCCCCCGCATCATTAATTGATGACCTCATCTACCCTCCGCAAGCATACCGTTCACTAGGGTGTACACCTAGTCGAGGACAACTAAATCTCGAGGGGGGTAATGTTACAATTTTAACCTCTACCAAGTGCGATCTCACACCTCATATGCCCAAGCCGTACCATCTATCACTATCAGTGTCCACCCTGACGGTCACGGGACCAGGCTCATCGACTACAGTGCTTAGATCGTGCCAGGAGGACTAATTTGGTAATGACCAACCCTTATCCAGTAATAGGTGGTCATCGGGACTAGGGTTGGCGAAGGGGGCAGTGGCGTTGACCCAAGATAGCGGGGAGGGGGGTTATTGGTTCATAGCGGATACCGACTCTTTTCCTTATATCTCAGATCCTGACCCATGGCCACTTCACTAATACGCGCACATATATATCAGCCATTGTACTATATAAACCCCCTTCCTTTACTCTACTTTTCCCATCTTCGAGATCCTCTGTTTACTCCTACTTTTAGATAGAACAAGGTCGAGAAACTCCTGTACTCTTCCCTCTCTCTTAATCAAGGGCCTTTGCAAGGTCACTTTGATCTCCTCATTGTGCGCAACTTGGACCTTGTCAACACAGAGGACTTTGACATGACCAGGACTTCGCTGAGGCATTGTTCATCATTTCATTGACCTTGAAGACCAGTGCTACACGTCTGCGTAAGGCTCTCCTTAAGGGGTAACCACCGCTTGAACTCCTAGAAGTAGACATTCGTAACATTTGGCGAACATTTAAGTATAAAATATTAACAGTAATAAAGTGCAACTGTTCAAAAAGCTGAATACCTTTGCAAGTTATTAAAGGTGGTAAAAATTAATTTTACTTTCTCAAATGCCAACAGCATCTTCTTTTCTTTTTTTGCCACTACTATGAGTCTTGCTAGTGCTAGCGCTATCAGCTTTTGCATTTTTGTTTTTATTACTATGTTTCTCCTCCTTCTCAGTTATATCCTTGACATCTGGCTGCTACTTGTTATTATTATTAACTAATTTTTCTGCACTCTAAAGGTGCCTCTTTTGTATTAAGGGCCATTTTCGCCAACATATTTTCATTTTTATCTAGAAAGTATACAAGAAAATGATTACAAGCCTCTATATATCAGTCATTATTATCAGGGTTAAGGCCAAAAAATATAAGAATTGCCTAACAAATAAGGTATAAGGAATATTTTTATTTTTCATTGCTTAAGCCTTTTATCTATATTAAGATTTCTAGATTTTTTAATTTCATGCTGAAAAAAGGGAACTGGCCAAAGTACAACAATTTTGCTTGGAAATTCAACTTGTTATCTAAGCTTTACTTTTTCAAGCCTAAAAAAATGGCCATTTATACGATTGCATAAAAATAAATGCCTGAGCTTAACTTGAATATCTTATATAAATGTAAAAGAGCTAGGTACACAGATTTTATTTTGCCTATATATTTTAATAATGTTTTACATTACAGCCTTTGTATTTTGCTATCTATGTCTGATATAATATAGCCTACTTATATTCAGAATGTTTTACATTTATAAGTATTGTATTCTTATTTATATCCATATAAACACACAAAGATTAAGCTCGAACTTGCATAAGCCAATATAATGCACTTACATGCATATGAAAAATTGATGTAACCAATTTTTAAATTACCGGCTAAAGATAAAGATAGTGCAAACTTGAACTAGTAAGGTGATGAAATAGTGGCTCAATAGCATAGCATTAGTTATCCAATGAATATATAATCTGTATGTTATATCTTTGTAAAAAGAACAAACAGAAAAAAATAAACCAACTAGTTTAACTATTGGCAAACAACCAGTAGGCAGGACATTTACCAGAAAGTTATACTAGCAAAGGCAACAAATCTGGTTTATTATGTAACTATCTCAAGCTGGAAGTGACTTTCCCTGTTCTTTTGTCTTCTTGCTTTCACATCTTCTATGTACTTACACTATGCCCCTTGTTTGTAGCTCTATGACACTTTAAAAGCTGGCTTTGGGCATCTTTTTAGCTTGCCTTAGTATTGCATCATGCATACTGGTATTGTGTCTGGCTCATGCTTTATTATACAGCAAAATTGAGACTGAGACAATAGGGTGCTGCTCAGACATTAAAACAATTCTCAACAAGTATATACACTTGAAAAAAAAGTTATATAACTATTTCCAAAATGGACACTCAGGGGATTGAACCCTGGACCTCACGCAATTGCAACTGCGAAGCGTGCGCGCTACCACTGTGCCAAGTGCCCGATACACAGTCATGTACTAAGGAATATATAGCACGGGTTTTCGACGGAAACCTGACTGCTGGTGCCACGGCTATGAGTAGCTGGAGTGCTTGACGAGTTCTGTCCGGTCCATTGGAACCGTGCCCACAAGTAAGCACTCGATTTACCACCATCTGGCGCTGCGCTTCCTGGAAAAGTACTTCAACTCGGCTGGCGGGTGGATTTGGCCAAATATTATCAGCAAGTGCAGCGGTGAACAGTACTTGTCGCGCTTGCTTGCCCTTGCCACTTGTATTCTACATCCTGGCCACACCACAGTGTAATCTACCTCTCGTCTCTGCAGGCTGTATTATCCTCTGGGCCTGCAATAGCCTATGCCGAAATGTCCTGAGCTCAGCCGATTACCCCGCCTGCATACTCTCCCCCGTTCTCTCAACGTGAGTACTGCCATTTGGAACGTAATTTGTGTGCACTAACTCGCACAAGTTCAAACACACCACTCGCGGCTCGCTCTCACCCTACCTCGGCTCACCGCTGCCAACCCGTATCCTCGACCCCTCCCACCCCGCCGCATCCATCCCCCGAAACAAAGTCTTGTCCAGTTTCCCATTCACGCGCGCCGACGGCTTCCACTTGCGCGCCATCCCAAAGGCACTGCTCTACAAACCTGAAGTTCCGTACCCCGACCCGCCATATGGTCCGGCCAAGAAGGACCCGCGTAAAGTGGACGTGTCGCTGCTGAAAATCGTCGCGAAGCGAAGCGTGCACAAGAGCGCCGTGATCCGCACAAAGGTCTCAATCAAGTTCAAGACGGCGATGTCATTAATTGTGACACGTGGTGCGGATGCGGAGACTGACAAGAAGGGTCGGACAAAGCTTGTTTTTAGGTCGGGGGACGCGGGGAAGGATCGGTGGACGCTTGAAGGTCAGTGCACTGTCCCTTCGTTGATGTTTGCTTGTGGGCGAAGGGGACGTGCTCACGCGATTCTGCTCTGGAGCAGATTGGACATATCTCGCGATCCTCAACCTTGAACTGTACCGCATGCCCTACACACAACTTATCCCCGATCTCCGGCGCGCCCTCACATTGATCAAGACGCGCGCAGAAAAGCTCAATGCGCAGTGGCAGCAACAGCGGGCATCACAAGCCCAAATTCCTGCGAAGCAGCAACGACCGGTCCAAAAACAGGTTCGTTCCCGACCGCAGCAGCAGGGACAGGTTTCGGCCTCCCAAGTCTCTGGTCGTTCACCACCGCTGCATACCATTTCAACCCCCAAACATGTTGGCAGTGCTTCTGACACCCCCGCGCGGCCGCAGCCTCCTCGCCCGCGCGACCCTCGCGACCAATCCCATCGCGTCGTCCCACTCCGTTCAACCTCCACACCACATCCCCCGGAGCCGTCCTCGCCCCCGCCACGCCTCCAGGCCGACCGACGCGATTACTCGACTGTGCCGGGCCGGCATAAGCCGGTGCTAGGGTTGATTCTGGCCGCCCAGCCCGCTCCGCCATGGCGTGTGGAGAGCATGCATGCACGTTCTGCAAGCTCGGGAGCGGGCGCGGCAGCGCCTCCGTCGAGCCTCCCGAGTAGCGAGCGGCCGCCCCGTGCGGCAAACGCGCAGGTATCGCCGGGTGTTGTGTCGTCTGCACCTGCGGACCCTGCGATACTGAGCGGGGAAGCCGCACCGGGACCGTTTCATGAGATGGTGGGGGAGCTGTTGCGCGACGCTGCGCCCGTGGCGCGCTCCGCGTCATTCGAGCGAATGTTTTCCGCTGCTGCGACAGAAGAGGGCGGAAAGAAGACCGGTGTAGGGTCGGAGGCAGAAGCGGAGGCGGAGGAGAGCAGCAACGCGCAGGAAGAGGCCGAGGTCGAGGCAGACGAGGACTGGGAGGTGCAGGAGCAGTTACTGCTTGCGGGCGCGGGGACCACGGTTTCCTCTCCATGGCACTACGGAATCGACCCGTTTGCCTATTGGCCTGCGCAAGATTCTGTACGTGATGCCTTCATCCTTCATTCATTGGGACTGCCTGTTCTCATTGGTTTCTTGGCACCTTTCAGTCTCTACCCAAGAAATTGTCCCCTGCGACAACCAAGCGCAAGCAGCCCGCGACCGACGAGACCCAGTTTCCGTCGGTCTACGACTACGGCCCCGTCGCGGACCCCGTGCGCCCGTTCCGTCTCCGCACCCCTCGCACCGACCGCTCCGAAACCCCGTCCTTCGACTACGCCCACGCAGCACGCAAGGCTGCGCTCGAGCGCGCGCGGCCGGCTTTGTCCGCACTGATCCGCTCGTCGAGACTGGGCATCTTGAATGGGCATGCGCTGCGGAGACGGCTGTGGTGGATATACACGGCGACAACGCGTGCAGCGAACATGCGAAAGGCGGAGAAGTTGCGCCAGGAGCAGGAGAGCGAGGAACGGGCGGGTGCCCAGGCAGAAGCAGAGGTCACACCGGCTAGTCAGGAAGGTGCGGCTGCGATGGCCCAGGTCCCCGAGGCCACGGACGCCGAAACTCCAGGAGCTTCCCCGGATCGCCCCCAGATGTCTCCCGACCCTCCCAAAGAGACAGCTGCAGAATCCATCTCGCCTCCAGCACACCGGTCCCGTCGCAGCGAGAGGCTCGAGCGTGTTAATGCCGGCCAGTCGGCACGAGTAGGCAGTAGTGCCCCATCTGCACGAGAGGCCGAGGACTCAGCGAGCACGGACGCCCAAGATACTGCATCGAAGTCGACACCTGGTCGGAGCCAACGCGACGGGACGCCTTCGCCGAGGTCCGAAGTACACACGCGTAGAAAAGCACAGCCTTTTGGTCTCAAACCTCTTGAGTCGCCGCCGCCAGAGCCAGAGCCCGCTCCGTTAGTTGATTCAACGAAAGTGCCATTCGGCTTGAGGCCTCCTGACGTGCCTCCGTCTGTCCGTAGAGCACCCGCGCCGTCCAAGGACGTGCCATTTGGACTGAAACCTGCTCCAAGTCCTGCGCAGGAATATCGTGAAGAAAGACGTAGTGCCTCAGAGGCCGCTTTGCCTCGCCCGGACCCTCCTCAGCCAGCTCCCGTACGACAGCAAGCAGATTCAGCTCGCGTACGACAGCAGACAGATCCAGCGTCTCGCCCTCAGCCGACCACCGTGCAGCCAGCAGTCCCAGCGGAGCCACCTACTCCTGCACCTATAGCATCGTTCGCGGAGACGCTCGCTTCTCGCCAGATCGCGGAGCGCCGTCAGCCAGTGCCCGGCCGGCGGCTCCTACCCTATGGCGTGACACCTCCGCCACCCCGCGATCCTGCAGTGCAGTACTCCCGGCTGGAGCCTTACGCTCTTGAAGACCGCCCTTCGTCGCATACACAGTCATATCAGCAGAAGGAGACCAGATCGAAATCTAGCACCCGCCGAGCGATACACCCAAAAGATGATGAGCCGTCGCAGTGGTACAACAAGGCGCTTTCTGAAATCGACCCGGATCTCGTGAAGGCGACTCGCAAACGCTGGCAGCAGCGGGGGAACAGCTCGCAGCAGGAGGATAGCTCCTGGCCAGGTGCGAACAGATCTCCCAGGGAGGACGTGTGGGCGCTGCCGGCGGACGCTGCGCCGTCTAATCCTGAAGAACGGCGGAGACCGTCGAAACGCTCGCGATGACGCGTGCTTCGTGTCCCATCTGCTCCGTGAGCCCACGCTACTGCCTAGCGGTCATTCGCAGGCGTGGCGCCCCGAGCTAGCGGATTGAGGTGAAGCCTTGCATGCGTGGCGGAAATCCCCCTTGTAGGCGTTGATGGGGGTGCCGGAACTTGGGGGCACTATCAGTGTCTTCCCCGACTCGTGGTCGTTCTGCGCCCGCAGGCGTTGTGTTCAGTGGAGTCCCTGGGAGACTCATGATGCAATGTAGGGCTTCGTGAGTCATAGGTGATTGTAGCTCTTGTTCTCGAGAAGTAGGCAAACGTGCATGCACCGCGGTTGTGATCCCTTACTGGTACGCTGATACGCCACATTAGTATATCTCTGTTGACAGCTCGGGGGATTTCCCTGACCCTGTGCATGCGTACTACTGATACAATCCGTCGAGAAGATGGTTAGGTCTCTGCTTCCTGCAGTGATGTTTGAATGGTAGTGCATAAAACCAGCCTAGGCTCCCTGAACGACGCCGCATCAGCGCAGCAGGAATTGGCGCTGAATCGGAATACAAGGACGCTGGTCGCCTCATGGCGATGTAATTAGCTTCGAATGTCAAGTAGTTGGAGCCCTCGGTGCTTCGCGAAGAGATCTTGTTGTGCCCGAGGCAGCAGTTCCTGCGGGAGTCGATAAACTGCACGAGACCACGTGGGAGCGCTGCTCACCTGTAAGCGCTGTGAGTTCCATGACTGGGAGAATATTGTCCCGACCTTTCAATTGAGTGTCATGAGTGTGGTCTACGTTTGCAGACCGTCGCGTCCTCTTCGGAGGCTATGTGGGAAGGGCCACCATGATTGATGCGTGCGACAGCTTCCATGAGATGTGCACTTGCAAATTGTGCGTGTGATACTAGGATTACAAGGACAAGAAGACGCTGGCGCAATTGGGAGGACCCTAAGGTGATACAGGTAAGGAGTTTGCGGGTATTTCTGCTGTGAGTCTTTAAATCGCGGCCGATATCTGGGCGGAGAGTGAATGTCAAACGAACGTGGAAGTTGCGCACCTTTCTGGGGATACCAAAAATATATGCCAAAGATGTTAATATCACATCCTTATGCGTGAGGCTTTCACATCGATAACGGCGCATGATATTAAAGGGCAGTCATATGGACGCGCAAATTCAGCCCCATTGGATACGCAGAATCCCAAAATTTGCTGCGATATCTGGAATACACGGAGTCAGGACAGGCGGACGGTGGGCTACAGGACCGGCTCCAGGAACGACGCGTGTCGCGCGACGCTGCATTCAATAATTTCAGCAAGAAGAGTCATTTCTTGCTCAGGACTTGTTCTGAAAAGATGCTAGCATTCGGGGGAGTCTTCTATGCAAAGGACGCGACGCGACGCGTTCAATCCCT